AACGCCTTTGGCGAATGGAGATCACCTGCTGAATAATCTCAGTATTAATATGGCTGAAGACGAGTACCCAATATGCAAACATTATGCTGGCATTTCAACCCGGTACTTCACATGACTATTTGTATTTACTATTTGTAATTTTTAAGTATGATAAGGATATACTGCTATCAAATATAAAAATAACAAATACTAATAGCCACATAGAGTGACTAGCATCTAACGCTAGACAAACATTAACAACAATGTATGCTACCATTCCAACTACCAATCATCACGTTGGCGATTTTTCAAGCTGACGTTTGCAAATAGATACCCAGGTCTCTCGATACAGTGGATTAAACTAACACTCACTACCAACTACATCGCCCATCGATCATATAAATTTATTGCACAACGAAACACGTATTAAATTTTATCGAGAAAATTTAAAATAACAAAATTAATCTAATGTAAGTTATTAAACCCTATCAAGTTTTAAAGACAACACGACATCGCTGGCAGAAAACTTAATTTGCAAGCCACCATTATTTACAAATATAATATAAGGTGGGAAAAACTTTCTCACGTAAATATCGTTCTAATAATTCTTTTTACATTGCGATGTTGCGACGTTCGATAATTTTTCGAACTCCACTGTACCTCTAGCACGCACCAATATGGATTCGAATAGTTGAATTCGATCTCGATACGCGTCTTAAGTCAAAAAGTTTTGTATACAAATTTGAACAGCGCCACAACGAAAGCAACGAGAATTAAAAATCGTTCATACAAAACTTCTTGACATAAGACGCGTATCGAGATCAAATTCAACTATCCGAATACGATATTGGTTCGTGCTAAGGGTTATGATCTATTCAAGAGGGTCAATCATGGAGGTAAATTTATTAATATAGACTTTATATACAATTGACCTTCAGGAATTTATCATTAATACAGTGTGCAAATTAAAAGCGGTGAAACAAATTTGCGATTTACACAATGCCCGACGTGCATATTATAGAACATTCCATTAATAAAACTAATTAAGAAACAGTTAAATGTTTAATTTTAATCCTACCTAACTATGAAGTGATTGAATAAAATAAATGAAAGATAAAAGTGAGGTCCGTGCTTAGAGATGACGTAATGGGGATTATTACAATTACTTATTACACAATGAATGAACGCTGAAAGATGTACAAATCTATCTGTTAGCTTTTCAACAAAAATATCCGTTTTATCTGTACAATAACAATTGTAATTTATTTCAGGGATGAACTGTGCATTTAATAGACATACAGAATTGGCCTTTACAAAGATCCGAGTGCCACCATTTTAAATTGTACTTTACATCAAACTAACGATTAAATTAACAACAATAATTACTCAAACGTAGCAAACTATATCAATTATTAGTATTTTTTATATCCAATAGCAAATTCTACATAGTTCATCAAATGACAACCCCCAAATTCATCAAAAGCCCAAATTTTTATGTTTATGCAAAGGGAGCTGGCAGCAGCAGCAAGGGTACCGCTAACTATAAATCATCATCATCATGTTTATGTTTAGTTTACTATAAATATTAGATAGAAAATCATAGATTTGACATATCAAATCATTTAAATATTCTTAGCAAACACAGATGTAAAAATAATATATTTTATGTATATTCTTTTTAAAATAACTCATACAAAAGCTTTTTTTGGGTTTATCATAATCAGTGCAAACGATGACCTTGAATATGACAATACTTGCAATTTTTCGGCAAGTTATGGAATATACACAATAACTGAGATCATGTTATCTCGAGCACATAAAGCCCAATATAGCATGTTTAAAGTTAATTCATTCCCATACATTCATATTTTTGGATATAGTAATATGATGAAAAAAGTAAAAATCATACGTATAACAAGTAAATACTTCATTATAGGCAGCAAGCAAGGCAAATGCGGCATTAAATGCAGCCTACTGCCATCGAACGAACACATTGAAAATCGATCTTTATTAACATTTGATCATCGAAACAGAAAAAAAATATTGACGATAGTAAGCTAATTTTCATGCTTGTATTATAGTATGCTAGTATATGTCTTGAAAACTAATCGATAGTAAAAAAATGTAACTAAATAATAATTTCATACTATAAGGCAGTTGATATCATGAATGTTGATTTCAAACAATGAACCGACATCAATATTACAAAAATTTGCACTCTGTTTAAAAATATATGAAACATAATTTAAATTTCACAGAAAATAAACTAAACATTTATTTGAAAGTGAACATATTTTTATAAGCTGTAAGTGGCCTAACTTATTCCATAATTTACAGTTATCCTTACATTTTTTTATATTCTATTTAATTTATTGTAAGCTTTGGAGTGTAGTCAGATATTTTATTTGTTAATGAAATATTTATTTTTCATATTCTTAATTACCGTGGCTTGCTAGTCTAAGAGCGAAGAAAATTTTTGAATTGACTAAGATAGCTAGCCTAATGGCAACACAAAATGGAGGGTTGTCATAGAAAAAAATAATTACTGTCACAAAACTTTAAATTGATTTACATTATAACAATTATAGTATCGGATTATAACTTACAGAGGTGGCGCCTCTAGCATCAGAAATCGGCAACTTTGCGTATTGACCTCGTTGTTGAGTAAGTTAATTCTTTTTTAATAACATTTACATTTACAAGTGATTAAAAACATTACAGAAATTTAAAAAGTACTGGCATGAGGCGAAACAGATAATCAAAAAAAAGGACACACGGGTTAAAAAGTTTCGCTTAAGAATGGAAAAATACTGAAATCGGTTAACCTTCTGTGTTATTTCCGTAAAAGTGTACACAATATAAAACAAACCAATAAAACGACCAAGCGCGTGTCGTAGGGTTCCGTAGTTGCCCGTCGTTACCAAAAAACTTCAATATAGGTATGTATGTTTCAAATTCTCCTATACTCTCTATAAAAACGTAACGATAGCGCGATCCAGAAGCCGTTGGTACAGCACTATCTAACAGCAGCTTTGTGGAACTAATATTTATTTGTGGTCTTTTAAATAGTTTATTTCTTATTTTGTTTTTCAAAGCAAGGTTTTACGCTTTATAAACAAGTCATTACTCCATCTAAGTCACTTTTAATTTTTATAAAGTATTTTTAATGCATAAGTTGAAAGACTGTTACTCTTAAACTGTTGATCAGTTTAAGAGTAACAGTCGTTCTTAACCGTTATAATTTTTCTTCAAAAATTTCATGAAAAGCACCACCATGATTTTTTCCAGATGAAAAATCTGGCCAAATAAAAATAATTTAGCTTCCAGAGGCTCTACTCGAACAAAACTTTGCACTTTCAAGTTTAATATTTCGCAAACGGAACCCCTAACCGAAATTTAGTCTTTTCAACCACTATGTCATTTTAAAGGACCTGTTCAACGATAACCCACACAATGGGCCCTCTATTTTGACGTGACAACGTCTTAAATTAGGTTGCGGCTGGGAGTCACTTATGAAAAAGTGTAACGCTCGGTAACGTTACGATGAGTCTCTCGTGTTAAGTTTAAGTTTACATGTACAATGTTTTAGTAAACAAAATATATTTCTATAGTTAAAATTTGTGCAATTCTTATTTTCATTCAATTCCTTGTTCCTATTGTGCAATTTAATTATATTCATATCAATAAATATTCTACCGAGAAAAAGACGTTGTCACGTAAAATCTTCGCCCGTAAAACCGACTTTACAGGAACCATTTTTTTTTTTCTAAATTTTATTCTACTACTTCGTTGGCGTGATTGAAATACATACCTCCACAAAATTACAGCTCTATAGTGACAACAGTCTCCAAGCAAAACCGGGGACGGACAGACAGACGGACAAACTATAAGGGTTCCTTGTCAGGACTACGGAACCCTACAAACTGCAAAAAAAAAATTAATGGCAAATGCTGCGGCAGGCGGGATTTAGGTCAACCTCACAACAATTACCATTTCCGTTTCTCGTTATTTGAGTAACAATTCATTTTAATTTTACATAGAGACTTACGGACAGTTTTAATAATCAAACTCTAGTAAGTGTCGCCGCACACGGGCCACACGCCACAGCCACAAACGCCGCCACGAGAAGCTAGAAGCGGCTACTAAAGTGGCTGAAGCGCGCGACAGCGGTCGACTAAGGTAAGGGAGAGAGGGGTGGGGAATCGCGCGAGTGACGTGTGGCGGCGTTTTGTATCGGCGCATTAAGAGGCCGGTGCAGGCCACAAGAAGCGAGCAACGACGATTTATAGCGTGTGGCGGCCACCGGCGTACCGTGTGTTGCAAGTCCATATAAAATGTATGAAAACTACAAAAAATATGCCGGTGGCGGCGTTTTGTGGTTGTGGTCGGTGGCCCGTGTGCGGCGACACTAAGAGATAGGCCTATTAGAGCTTTGATTCCTAGATTTTTTTATTATTTACATTATAATAAAAACCCTTGTTAAGAAACGGTAACAGATCCCTTTTACTGGAGATGGAATTATTAAACTGCACGTTAGATGAAATGTACTTTAAATCATTCTTCCAATGTTCCCCGAATGCTGAACGTTATATATAACGTTACGTAACGATTTTTACAACGTAACAAAAATCGCCTGAACTCCACTTTATTAAGTTTCTTAGGTTTTCACGCACATCACTCATTAAATAAAACTAGTTTTTACGGGTTAATGCACGAAACTTTATTTATTTATTGACGTTTCGCAGCCTTTTCAGGTCTGCATCGTCAGAATAAATAAATAAAGTTTCGTGCATTAACCCGTAAAAACTAGTTTTATTTATCCACTTTATTAACTTCATAGAAACGAGGATCAAAGTTTTATTTCACAAAAATAAATGAGAATTTGCGCCAGGAATATTTAAAAAAGACCAAATTATCCTTTAATTAAAAAGTAACATAGTGCCTTTACTTTACAAATTAGATGTCGCTTAAGCGAAACTTAAATCAAACGCCAAATAGTAGGACGTTAGCGACATGGGTATAAAAAAACAACAAAAATCTATTGTCACGTGAACGTAATTTGAACTCAAATAAAAAGATAATATTGAAAAACTTTTGATTATTAACTTTTTTTACTATGACCCGCTTTCTAAGAAAGAATCCCGCTTTTTTCACTCAAAAAGTTGCTAAATCCCGACTTGGCAAAAAAAACTGGCAACGCTGATATGGACACGACCCAAACTCTAATACAGTTAAGATAGAAACCGCCCTAAATAAATGATAAATTGTAGTAGTAGATATCCGGCTGCAACAATTTTGACGTAACCAGAGGCGCCCCTTATAAAATGCTGCTACTTTATTTACATGGCTTTTAGTATTTGCTATTTTTAAACTACATAGCAGCCCTCCTTTTCATTCTCTACAGAATATGAAAGGATATACCTATACCTACATTCTGAGTGCATCTTTTCGCTCTGACTTTCCAATTTCTAAATTGAATGTATGAAACTTACTTTAAATAAATTGAACATTATTATATCTATATTTTTGATGTGTAAAACCTTTCCATTCGCTTTCCTGCAATTTGTGGGAGTGATTTCGTGAAATGGGACGGAAGTCTGTAACCTGTAGTCGCGAATGCGCGCGCTATTTGATTTGATTTTAGAATATAATGTTCAAATGGCTAATTCCTTTTGTAGTAGGTTTTATTTCTTTTTTTTACTAATTTAAGTGTGGTTTCAAAAGTTACACATCATCATAACTACTGTAAGGCTCGCTCGTTTTTTAATTTAAGCATTTATCTGCTAGACTTGTACAAATGTAAAGAAATTTTTCTTTAGATTAATTAATAGAATTGCAATTGTAGGTATGGGACACACCCCTACTATAAAGTTTAATAATAGCAAAAAGGAAAAGCCAATGTAGTGCTAGAATAACAAAGAGTAAGTGTGTTTATAGATATAAGAGAATGGACTGAAGCACACTCGCATGAAGTTGATTACTCTCTAGAAAGAGACAAAAAAACAACCAATACGTAGACGAACTATGGATGTCTCTCTTTCACTTTTCTGCCATGTTTACTTGACGTCTTGTTAGGGAACGTGCAGTTGTATTGGTTAATGTTCTTAACAATTTTTCATAACTATTGACGACGAATAACTTTTATCCAATTTTTTACTGGTTATGAAATAAGTTTTTTTTTCTTAATTTTTATAATTGGTTAAAAAAACTAACTAAGAAATTGGAAAACAAGTTATGTATTTAATAACCAGGTAAGAAAATGAAAATAATTAATCACAAAAACAACTTCGAAAACGGAAACAAATGATATTTATTAACCACTTTTAAGAAAATAAAAAACCAACATTCATAATTGTATTATTTAGTTGTATTTCTCGATTTATATATCAGAACTGATTAAACCAATAATAATTATGAAAAGGGATAAAATATTGTTATAACATTACAACCTTAGATTAAAACAAAAAAGGGAATATACAGTACGCTCATACTAGCATAAAATAAAATATGCTCTCCACATAAGCAATTCTCACACACGCACACTTCTGTAAACAAACATTCAATCGAGCGAGCGAGACAGAACTGTACGCTTCTACGCAGTGCGAGCGTAGCAGGGAGTACGCGTCGCTTAGCAGCAGACTGCGTTTTCTTTTCTCTCTTTACAAACGGCTGAGCTGTATTATTGTCCTTTTCTTGATGACAAATGGCGAATAAGTAAATAACATTTTATAAGATTATAAAGTTTTTTTTATAATTTTTCGAATGAAAAGTGTTGCCGTGAAATTTGTTATTTAATCTTGAACTATTTGTGTTCTTTATAAAAGCATGAAAGACATTGTTTTGTCTTTATAACACAGAAATGTCTAATTGTGACTAAAGCGAATTGTGGTCATGCACCACAATTTAGCGGTACACTCTTGAGCCGCAAGTGCCGTATCTTTCCTTTTTGTTTTTATCTAAGATTACAACCAGTTACGAAAAAATTAATAAAATTCTTCTTTCGCAGATGGTTATGAGAAACGGTTAAGAACATGGACCAAAGGGGTCCATTCTCTATGTTTATTTTTTCATTTATTTTTGTTGTGTCGAATGGTCCTCGTTTACCTGGTAGGTTTAGTTGGTGCTTGACATCACGTGAGACGGCATGACGGCAATCGACCGCACGAAGAGTTCCAACGACGTTTCTGCCGCGTCGATTCCCCGTCTGATAATTCCGCAGTAGAAAGAGTACGTGAGCCGCCTTCACCCATATCTACCGAAAAATTAAAACCCATCTTTATGATGCTATTGGCTGTAAAGTGATGGCTGTATAGATTAAATACCTCTGCCTACAATTATTACAAAAAAGACAAAAAGTTTCGCCGTCTGATAATCAGCAGTAGACATAGTACATGACCCGCCTTCACCCATATCTTAAAAACTGTCTCTAGGACATTGTTGACTGTGTTGATGGCTCTATAGATCTAATACTTTTGCTTGCAATTCTACAGGGACAAAAAGACAAAAGTTTTTCTTAAATAGTTTTACGGCTTTACATTTTATCCATACAGCCAATTCTTCAGTAAAGACGAAACTGTTTTATTGATGGCAGACGAGTCATACACCGTACTAATATTTAGGGTCAACATTTTTTTGTTATTGTCCTGATGGGTATCTATTTACATTTTAAAGTGAACTTTTTACAAAAATCATGTGTATCTATCAAAAGGCATAATTGGAAATTACTCCAGCTCACCTGAAATTTAGAGTGACTGGAGTTCGGGAAACATATTTTCTAAGTTAGTAGGTAATAATAACAATACTAAAACGATTGCAATTGAATAAAAATCACTTTCAAATTCGATGTCAGTTTTCAACCCACATAAGCAGTCAGTCTCATGCATAAATAAACTACGGAAAAGCGCAATAACTTTCTGTTATTTGTTTCTACGACAGATATCAATATTCATTATATGACTCATTCATTGCTGAGTGAGGTGATTTCTTCATATCACTAACTAATATAGATAATTATCCATTGTGCTCATTCAAGGACCGTTGTAAATGTTAGATTTTTAAAAACCATTTGTATAAATCTGTCACTCTCATGCAACCAACCTAACTCAACGAACATATTCGTGCCTTGACTGGTCCAACTTTGCCATTTTCGGCTTCTGTAAAAATCATTATGCCTTTAATACTACCACATTATGGATTGAATGTTGTTAAATTATTCACTATCAGGCCGAAATCAAGTACCTTTATATTTCTGTGACAATATTCTTCGAAAAAAAACCTTGTTGAGTATAAATGACTATCAAAACATTCCTAAAAATATAACACTTTATCAACAGATGTTACACATAACATCTGGTGATCAAGTAAACAGCAAGCTGAAAGAAACAGGAATGTTTTTGTACTTTGATGCGAGAGAATTCATTTCAATGTTAACTAAGTTGTTTTCGAATTGCATAAAAAAACAAGAACGAATGCATTCTTGTCTTATTTTGTCAACACATGTGTTCTGTCGCCGATTGTTTTATATTGGTTTTGGTCTAGAGTCTTGACTATTGTTACCAATTTACAGTAAAGAAAGAAATGTTGTTTATTTAATGATTATCAGGGTAGATTGAAAGTTTTGAGAGGCCGCGGCATCCACTTTATCGAACTATTCTTTTTTCCAAGATGCAATTTCACGTCTCTTTAAAATAACTTCGTGTTGTAGGAAACAAAAAGCATGCGGAAGGAAACAAAACTGATAAATATTAAAAAAATACTAAATTGAAAAAACTCTACCAATGGATTTAAACCAGCACTTTTCGATATTCGAGGCTAGGGAATGCACTGCCCGCTATGCTACCGAGACCTTAATGGACGTGAGAATTTCTTCTAGTATATCTTAGGATTCAAGGCAGCGCCAATTCTAAACATTGCAAGCAACTACAATGTCAAAACTTGATACATTTACAAGTATCAAATCGCTTCCGCTTTAAAATCTTCCCGGCTAGAGGATTCCTCAAGTGGTATTTAGTCAATAAGATTCTGACATTTTCACAGTTTTTCACAGATTCTTCACCCTTTCCTGAGGATGCCCATTCTCATTACGATGGCATAAATAAAACAATCGAATTCGATCGAAGATTTTTGTTTTGTTTTGTTTGATTGATTTTTGCTGGATTCTAAAGATTAACGGCTAACGCTTAGTTTACTGGATCAATGTCACTCACCATGCCTCAAATCATGTTCTGTGAAGTACTCCTGAGCGGAGGCATAGTGCCGCTCGACCAAATACGGTATGACAGTTGAGGAGTGAAGTTCGTCCGAGCGACGCGATCGCGGCATCACCATACGCTCGCCCGATTCCAACGGAGGAGTAGCTTGTACCCACCTGCAAAACCAATGTCCATTTGTTGTTAAATCTTGGATTATCCAAACCTCCTACAGTTCCAAATGTGTCGTAAACCTTGCCGCAAAGAACCTTTCGTCAGCCGGCTTTACCACCGGCTTTAAGCCTTGCCGCTGACTTTGGAGCCAGTTTTGCCGCCGGTTTTGCCACCTGCCTACAACTACGGCTACGATTTTCTCAGTAGTGTTTCGACTTCATCGAAGTTAATGGTATACGTAGGATTGGATGTTGGACCACAATATCATTACGTTTTTTGCATTTGTGCTGTATGCTATAAATTCACAAAAAATAAGCGCAAGCAAAGGAACTGTCGCCGACAACAAAAGTCGCGCCTGCAGCAGTTAAAGCCGCAGGGTTGGCCGCCAGCCATGTCGCCGGGCATGTGTGGATCCACCAATAGGCCTAGGTACTCATGACCCACCACGCGCGTATTGGTGCGTGCTCACAACTGCAGATACAGCTGGGACCAACGTGTCTTCTAAAGCACGAGGGAAGTCGAGATAATAAACTTTTGGTCACACATTCTTTGACCATTCATATGAGTCATAAACATTTGGTCACCCATCCTATGACCAGTCTGTACGAAAGTTGCTAATTTCACATTCCCAGACCGAACGCGGTGGTTACGGCGCCAACGAGCACCTCATCATTAAAATAGAGCAGTGTTATTGCTAAATCTGGAAACAGTAGAGACAGAGTCCGAAAAAACCCGTCTACTAATAGACAGAATTCTTCGTGTTTTCTTTCGGTCTCAGTCCATCATAGGATAAGTTCTTTGAAAACTTAATGAGTTTACGAAGTCATCGCCATCATTAAGGTGTTGTTAATCTTAAGTGTCTGTCTATCTGTATAGTACTCAACTCACATAGAAGAAAGAATATTGATATTAAGGGCGTGCGCTGGATGAAACGTGAACACGTAGCGGACGTCTGCTCTCTATATATAATAATTTATACATGCCTATAGTATTTCTTTCTGCTTTCGGCCGACTGACTTTTAAAACGCATTTAGAATACTCTTGGTGATCCGAGAGACGTTGTCCTGTCCGATAAAATATAAAAAAATCCTAAAACCTATAAGAAAATCTTAAACTGCAGCGCCCAGCTAAGTATCCTAAGTTTTCTTACATTTTCTAATATTTTTTCGCAACTTTCTTATTTTTTTCCGTAAGAACATTCTATAAAATATTAGTAAACTTAAGTAAAGTCGTTCTTAATTTATGGTGTGACTAAAGGAAATAGAGATTCATTTATGACAGGCCATATTTGACAGTATGAAAAAGTGTAAATTGCCAATTGCCAATTGTGCATCTGTATTTAATATAAATATTACCAGCGATTTGACTATTCAGAGAAAACAAATAATTTATAACTTTAAGACTAGACAATCATAATATAGGAATGATTTATTTGGTCTATGATCACGTGATTGAAAACGCCTGGGATTGGCAAAGTCTAAAATGACGTCACACGCTAGTAAACTTCCAGTCCAATTGTTAGGCAATATAGGAAAAACAAGCCATGCCAAAGTCACAACAGTAAATAATCAACATAGTAAGGAACATGTTTGATAAACAGGTAATTAATATTGACTGAGGGTAATAAACAGTCTGCTTATCATTAAGAAAGGTATGAGGTGACATTTTTACTAGAAAAGTGTTTTTTTTTATTTAACCAAAAATACTGCTAAGCTGACAAGTGGTAAACAGAAGACTGATCAAAATAAAAAGCAATATAAAACTGTTTAAATATTACAACTTAAAACTTGTTTTATATGTTTACAAAGTTTCAAGGTTACTTGAAACATCTACCTAACTATGCAAATATTATGAGGTATTTGCAAAGCTTCTAAATTAACAGTTGTTTGAAAATCTATAAAAGGCCACATCTACATCAAACAACAAACATCAAAAGGCAAACTTACGTAAAGCCTAGTAGTTACATCAATTATTATTCTTTCTAATATTTGCTTAAAATGTGTCAGCTACAAAAATCCTTAATGCTGATAGTAAAAATCTACTAATAGACAAAGCAGAGTTGTAGGTATCGCCTAGCTGACAATCTGTTAGTATTTATTCAAGACAATGTCTTAGTTAGACCATATTCTTCCATTCCCCTAAAGCAGTGTTTCTTAAACATTTTGCTGTCAATGACTTTATTTCGGAATTTCAATATTTCCAAAAACTAAAAATCAAAGATAATTAAATTAATATTAAATCAAAGAAAGAAATCTTTCTCACTAAATACCAAATATTTTTTTTAGTTATGAAATAACTGAATGACTACTATTCTTGATACACATGCTACGGACCCTATGATGCGTGAATTCCACTTTGTGTTTCCCCGCAGTAAAGGATAAAACCCCTTCCACCTACATTTTCCAAAAACAATCATTAGTATTTTATACTTACGCATGCCTCCTGATCTCTTGAACAGTGGGCCGCAGGCTAGGATCTCGCTTCAGCATATGCGAAAGCAACGCGCCAAGCGCGGGCCCCAGTGACGACGGCGGTGGCGCCGGCTCGCCGCGCCCTATCGCTTCCAACAACCGGTAAACGTTGTCGCCTTCAAACGGGTACCGACCCGTTGTCATGTTGTATCTGAATTTCATCATTATCATAAGCATCAGGCTATTAAGATTACTTTAGCTGTTGAGGTAAGGCACGGGTCTTTGCTATGGACAGATTATTGAGTATGGACCATGTCACATTTTTAAGAACCAGTGCCGATTGGTTGTGGTAGTTGGGACAAACTGCTTAAAGTGACTTCCAAATGTGCATGAGCCAGAGACAATAAATTGTGAAAAGTGCAAATGATCTTCTTTTATCTCTGAATATTATATTCATTAGTATGCTTAATTTAATAGTTTATAGAATAATAATGATCAGGTTTTTAAGCTAATTTTAGACATAATATACACACATATTTTCTATCTATTATTGACGACCTCCGTGGCCGAGTGGTTTGTACGCCGGGTTTCATGGTGTCGCCGACTCGAGAGGTCCTGGGTACAAATCCAGGTGGGGGCAGATGTTTGTGTGATGAATACGAGCATTTGTACTCCAGTCATGGATGTTTAATATGTATTTTCTATATCAATATACTTATATATGTACAGTATGTATATGTATTCTACCCGTTACCCTAGTATCCCTTAACACAAGCCTTATAGTGCTTACTTTGGGGCTAGGCTAATTGGTGTGTGAAAATAAAAAAAAAAATCTATGCATCCTTTAAGAGGTGTTAAAGATTCAAGACGCTAAGAGAGCTGATTAGGTTAATAGCATAGCCAAGCAGCTTTCTGTCACACTACTTGAGGCCCAAGCACAAACTTTGACTGTTCCGTAATTGTATCATCATCGTCAAAATTTGTATGAAAGGAGCCAGTTTGTTCTTAAATCTAATAATGGCTCTGCTAAGTTTTACTTCAAACTTTGATGATGCGATAAGATTACGGAGTTGTCAAAGTTAGTGCTTGGGCCTCTGCTTTGCTTCACTTATGCTTAACATCAGGTAGGATAATTTACATTTACAGCCTATTGTATATAAAGGAAAGAAAGCAGCTTCTGTTTAGGTAGCACAAAGTTTAAACTACTAATTTACATATTTTATCAACATAAAACTTTAATAAATAAACAAAAATGTATCAGTTTCCTGACACTGATAAATATCTCAATTCAATGTAACTATAACTTTATGTGTGGATACAATGTTACCACTCAACATCATAAATATGCAATGCAAAAAAGGATTTAGTCAATACTTCTATGATTTGTAACCCACAATGTGTCATGTATTGTATTGAAAGTAGCCTTCAATAAGTAGGTATTCAGTCATTGCCTTTAAGTAATTTCAGATTTAGCATATGACTCATGTTAAAAACAGAGCTGAAACATAACAATGACAATGGCGCTGGTACCTAGTATTGAACTTTCTCATTCTTAACAATGTTATTTATTGCCAAATTCATATCAACATTCAAAAAGTCTTTGACTTACAATGTGACTCCACTGCTCCAAATGTCCACTTTTGTACCAGAAAACTGTTCGGCACCGTTAGCAATTTCTGGTGGTTGAAATGCTGGCGAACCTTGGCCAGTGTAACATGTGTCTTCAGGAGAAAACATATCTAATGCCTAAAAGGTAAAAATATCATGAACATAAGTACATAAAAGGAAAATCATTACAAAATAAAATAAACATGAAATACTTATAAAGGCTGTTTATCAATATATTTCCTATTGTTAAAATAATTACTGATCAGGTACAATGTAAATATCAAATATATGGAAATTTACCTCTGCTACACCAAAATCTGTTATTTTAAGAGTCTGATCCAGTGTCAGAAGTAAGTTTCCAGGCTTAATGTCTTTGTGGACCACTCCCTGTCCATGAAGATACTCCAAGCCATCCAGCAGCTGTGTAAAGTAGTCATGTGCCTGCCTCTGAGGAAACTTTTTGCCCGGGCTTGATTCTAACATATCCTATTTTGCAGGGACAAAACTGACATTAATTGTGGGTTTTACAGTCTATTTAAAAGTACAAGATAATAGTTTAGAATTTTTATTGCTTTATTAAAAATTTTTGAGAATAGAAAGCGATAATAAAAATACTTTCTTCATACCTGCAATACTCCTACACAGAACTCCATAACAAGATACATTTTTTGTTTTTCATCATTATACATAACATCGACTAGTTCTATCACATTTTTATGTCTAAGTATTCGAAGTAATTGTATCTCCCTCTGTACATTTTGTTCTCCATTTGGTATTCTTCTTAGCTTCCTCTTCTTTAATATTTTAACAGCTCTTCTACACAATGACTCGGAATCTAACATCTCCTTCACTTTGCCGTATGAGCCCTCACCTAATACATCTCCCATAACATACTTCCCTACCATTTTACATTTTTTCTTTTTACTTCTATATATTATATCGGCGCTATCGACTCTATGAAAAAATAAGTTGGTCTGGTCTAAATTAAGATCTAACTCGTCTATCTGGTCATCGTCGAGCCAAGTAACAGAATTTGGCTCTGGACTACCTTCAATCAAGAAATTATCTTCACTCTCTTGCGGTGCAGTGATATTGGATATTTCATATTCCACATTATCGGCATCTGGAAGACTTTCACTACTGCTGATTTTCCTACACATTCTTGGATCCATTATCTATCAAAACAATACATTTGGAAAACTGTCCGATTTATGTTTCGCAAGGTCTTTTGTCATGAAATCCTTCAACTGTTAACAGTCAAAAATAAAACAGAGTTTATGCATTCCCAAATCTTTTTAAACTGGCTAAATGCACAAGATCTTTAAAAAAACACTTTATCTTTATTAAAATCAACGTAAGTAAATAAAATACGAGTTTACGCACAAGCACAATTTTTTTTTTTTTTTTTTTTGTTGAAGTTCTCCCGTTTTAGGGAAGGCAAAGGGAACAATGCCCATACAGCCTAGTCTTTAATTAAATTAATCTTCTTTTTTTTTACATTAGAATGTCGGTGTGATGCATTCTAATGTTTCTTGGAGTGTTTGGCACGAAATGTATCGAGTTGGCTTTTTCGATAAGCTTCTGTGAGGTAGTCAACACTACAATAAAATTCTCACGTCCACTTGACCGGAATAGCGTATATTTTAACGATTCCACTAATTCTTCAGTTACGCAGACGGTTGTTACACAAAACCACACCAATTTTATTTCACAATATCCACTATGAACGAATTTAAGAATAATTAAAATAAGACGCCAACCGCACTCGATGAAATCCCGCCAAAAAACCCGCACAAGCACAAGACAAGACCACAAACAATTTTTTTTTTTAATTTTTCTGTATTTTTTTCTTAAATTGTTCTCTCAATCAACAAAAACAAAACATACTATGTACATACAGCCTCTTATTTAGATTTTGATTTGTTGGTTTTACACATATTTTAAATGTTTATCAATTTATCAGTGTTTTACCTAGTTTAAGCCAGCTGTCCATATGGGCGTTATTCTTATTATATTGGTCGATAATATCGGATGCGTTATTGCGATATTTCGTCACATCTCCGCAGCACTGGGTAACTTCGTAGCCATTCTCTTAAATAATGTAAGTACTAAAAACAGATATGTATCTCAGTAACGTAACTGATCTGATATTATCAAACAATAAAAAAAGCAGTGATATTCTTATCTGTCGTGTTGTGTTGTGACGCGATCGGTTTCATACTTATATAGTCTATTTCAAATACGATGGTTGGCTGGCCTTTGACGGTTATAGAGACGTGACTGCATGTGGCACCCTGCATATCCAATTGATTATCGATTATACCTTAGTACTTATGACAATCGATTCAAAATATAGATTTATACTGATGTCGATTCTGTCATGATTCTCTAAAGCTAAACTTAATTTTGACAACAGTGCATCCTTGTCATTCTCAATACAAAATGAAAAGGAGAGACTGATGTTAAATTTAGTTTTAAGTTTAGAGAATCACGCTAGAATCGACTTCACTGTATATTAAATTTTAGTTATTTCTAGTTAGATATGAATATTCAAGTCAGTTTCCTGAGGAGAGAGTAATTATTTTAAATGATATTTATTACTTTTTGAGAAGTTATACTTTTCTAATAATTAGACTAAAATATAATTAAAATTAATTATATATTTTTGTGCTATGTGATTGCCATTATTTAATGCCAATAAACCATATATTTATTGTATAAATATATTAAAATACCTACCAAATTAGAAAATTTGTATAATGTAAATAAACAAACAAAAATCTATTTAATGGGTTACTTTATTACTCTAATATACTACTTTCTGACGTCGTTTCATCACTTTCTGAAGATCAACACTGTAAGCATGCGCTCGCGCGGATGGGGGCCCGGAATTTTATTTATTTTTTAAGCATTTAACTGCTAGATGTTTAAATCTAAAGAAAAGTTTACTAGAAAAAAATCCACGTGGACCAGGCAGCGGACGGGACTCTTACGAACGAACGAACCCGCATACTTCGCTATCCGGGCGAATGCACTGACCATTATGCTACCACGGCCCTATTAGCCGCGTCTAATAGGGCGTATTAGCAATTAAATGCTTAAAAAATAAATAAAATCATAACTATAATTGCTACTTCTTCTTTCAAATGTTTAATACTTGAAAAAGTATTCATTTGACATTGTGGGTTACCTACAATGCGAAGAGATGGCGCTGCCTTGCAGCTTAAGGCTAGGAAAATTTCGACGCAGCTAATAGGGCCGTGGTAGCATAATGGTCAGTGCATTCGCCCGGATAGCGAAGGATGCGGGTTCGAGTCTCGTCCGCTGCCTGGTCCGCGTAGATTTTTTTCTAGTAAACTTTTCTTTAGATTTAAACATCTAGCAGTTAAATGCTTAAAAAATAAATAAAATCATAACTATAATTGCTACTTCTTCTTTCAAATGTTTAATACTTGAAAAAGTATTCATTTGACATTGTGGGTTACCTACAATGCGAAGAGATGGCGCTGCCTTGCAGCTTAAGGCTAGGAAAATTTCGATAGCATAATGGTCAGTGCTTTCGCCCGGATAGCGAAGGATGCTGGTTCGAGTCCCGTCCGCTGCCTGGTCCGCGTGGATTTTTTTCTAGTAAACTTTACTTTAGATTTAAACATCTAGCAGTTAAATGCTTAAAAAATAAATAAAATCATAACCATACCTAAGTATATCTTTTTGTTTCTCCTGGCTATGGGTATTTAGTTTTTACGCATATTTGTTATTAATTTTGTTCTAGTTTGGGCAACGCAATAAGTGTAGGCGCACTAGTGCCTAAGATCCATACTAATTCCGAAACTAGCAATTGATCAAACTATGACAATGAAGTAAATAATTAGGTGTCAGACTTCTCTTCCACCGTCTATAGATTAATCCTTAGAAAGGCTCAATATAATTATAACCCAGCCCAGTTCCATCTGATAATTCCCATGAAGTCCGTTTCTTTTACTCATAGACAAAGAAAATTTACTATGAATATACTACAATGCGTTGGTGCACTACACTAAGTCAAGTAACACTCAATCCATTCTGAATTATGGACTATAAACAGATTTAATGACTGTTTCAGATGAAAGAGAACGAGCGAGAGGTATAGTTCGGAGGCCTGTTATCACTTGCTAATGGAGCGGCTATCTATTTTATATTTGCATTTTTATGTTAAAAAGGTGACAAACAAGCATACGGCGCGCCTGATTTCCCAGAAACACAACACCACTTTTTTACTGTGGTCTTCTGTAAGGTGAAGGTTATTTCCCCAGACGGGAGCTCTAATTTGAGCGGGAAATCCTCTGTGCCCTACCACTACTACCACCAGGGATTTAGGATTGTGGAGGCCCCGGGCCACTTGGGATTTGTATGCTTGTTAACTCATCGAAATTTTGTTATCTCTTATCCTGTTGTGGAGGCCCCGGGCCACATAGGATTTGCATGCTTGTTGACCCATCGAAATGTTGTTATTTCTTAAGCTGTTGTGGAGGCCCCTGGGCCACAGCCGCACCTGCCCTGCCTTAAATTCGGCCCTGGCTGTAGGTAAAGGTAAAAGAGCAAAAAAAATATCAAAGGAAAAGATGTTTACTAGTGTTTACTAGTTGGAATTTGAAAGATTTTTTTTTTTGAAGTCTCTATTGTGGGGTCCCCCCATTTGTGGAGGCCCCGGGGCTTTCGCCCCGGTTGCCCTCCCCTAAATCCGGCAGTGACTACCACTCTTAAAACGATTATTTCATTGTCTGTTCCATCTTACTGCACCAAGGCATCCATGCAAGTATGGCAAAAAGGAATATTTTTGCAGTCGTATAATGTTAAAAAATTCGTTAGTATAAGCAAAGTTTTTATTTTAATCATCTAAGTGGTAGATTTACAAATCTAAAGAATTTTTAATAGAAAAATATTTCTGGCTTTCGACGGGACCTCGTCTACATAGTCTGGTTTTTTTTAGAAAAAAAAAATACACTTATATACCAAATGGATATCGATGGCGCAGGAAGTTAGCGCATTGGGCCTGCGATCGTGCAAGTGAAGCAACTTTCGCAACGGTCGGTCATTGGATGGGTAAAAACTTCCTATTTCGAGCTCCTCCGTACTTCGGAAGCCACGATAAACCGTTTATTCCGGCTACATACACACAGCCTTATCTTCCTATTCCATCCAAGGGGAAGGCCTGTGCCCCTGCAGTCTTCTTCCTGCCTTTATCCCATCTTTATTTGTGGTCGGGCCTTCTTGCGCATTTGTACCAGGATATTCTGTCCCGGGTTGACATCGGTGATAGTTTTTGGGATTTTAAATCTCTTTCCACGGTGGACCACCAAGAGGCTGGTGCTCTGTTCCCAGTTCTTCTTTTGTATTGATGTTGAGCACAGTTTTCACGGAGTAGTTTTCTTCTCGCCTCATCACATGTCCGTGCCATCCGAGCTGGCCCTAGTTACAGGAGCCACCTTAAAGAAACCTCTCACGAATCAGGTATTTTTTGCGCTCGCAGCGACTGCCATAATAGGCTTCTTGGGACTCTGTCGAAAGCCTTATCGAGGTCTACAAAGATCATAATATATAGATTTTCCCTATTAGTCCTACATTTTCCATGAGAATTCTTATAGTTTGTATTGCCTCTGTGGTCGATCTTCCTGCTTTGGAGCCGAACTGGTTTTCAGTTATGATGGTCATTGATGATATTCTTGCACATAAGACTCTCTCCCAAAGTTTGAGTGTGTGCGATCTTAACTTTATCGCTCTGTAGTTATTACAATCATTTACAGTCCCTATATCGTTTCGATATTAATGAGGACGCGAATACCTAATCTATCTGTGGCCTTGCAATGGGAACAATAAATAGACTGATGATGATATACCAAATTCCTATAAAGAAAATGTTTCCTTTAAACTACGTTCGACTCACTATAGGCGTTTTTCTTTAAAATATGTTTGTTTATTTATAGAAAGTAAAGATTACATTTCGGAAACAGAATCAATCGGTTTTTTTTGCTGGACTGGGAATGAAAAGCATCATTGAATGCGCCAGTTGTTGATTTATGTATGTGTTATTTTTTATGATTACTGTAATCACTCGTTAGTGTTTGCAGCTAGATTATCTGCAATTTCGATAGCGTCATCTGCGTATAGCAAGGAGTTAACAACTAGATCACCCATTTGCAATTCCACATTTATCGACCTAAACGTCTGAAGAAAATTGACGAATTAAGTAAGTAGCCCTGTTTGACACCATCATGCCACACCAGACCGACATTCTGCCGCCCACCCGCACGTATGCTGTATAATTTTCATAAGTTGACTACACAGCACGTATCAGGGTACAGTCTATTCCATATCTCGGCAATATATTCCAGAAATCCTTTCGCAGAAATTCTTCAATTGCTCCAACTAAGGATACAACTACCCTTAATAGCCTTTTAGTGACTCAATAGTGATGATACCACAGAAATAAATTGTTTATTTTAAACTGCCTATGATTTTTATATATTTATGTAATTTGCGCAGCTGTAGTTGTTTGTATTTTACCTACACAAAAAACAAAAAGTCAATAAATAATAGGAGAAAGTTTATTACAATTGATTTAATATGGAAATATAATTGTACTTGTAGGTAATATCGATAAGTTATTTTTATTGTTGGTACTTGGTTTTCATTTCCTTCTTGAGCAAGGAGAGGCGTGTGAGGCAAGCGTCCCTCCAGCCTCGTCTCTCTTGAAGCCTGTCCAGGGGAACCATTTCATTGAGTTGTTCGCAGATCGAGTCAGCGCTCGTGCTTTGAGTCATTTGAGGGTTTGGGCCGAACTTACTGGACACATTGTAAATGGTGTTTCCGTACCTGAAGAAGTAACAAACAAGTGACTGTTAATTAGGTAAGCAATAAAGGAGCTCGATGACGCTGTGAAAACCGCTTTCAGTCTTCCATCGTGGAAGTTAAACAACTTTCATATTTGAGAAAGAATCCTACCTATCACACAGGGCCCCGAGCCTGTGAAGCATATGAAGTGCATTAGGATTAGATATTCAGCCAGGACTAACCGGATACTCCGGTCATCGGATGGGTGATCAACAATGTACACAATGTAACTGAGTAATATCGTGAATGTTACTAAGCTTCAACGTAACAAAGCAAAGTAATGGCAAAGGATAATGCTAAAACGCAACGCAAAAATCCAATTTCATTCAACTCTCTTCTATCACTCTCTTATTTTCTGTAAATACCACTCGCAAGAATCTTTCCTCCTTCATCTTATTATCATCATCTTCAAATTTTTTCGTATGTCATGTATCTCTTCAAAATTTTCTCCTCAAGAAATATACTGGATCTTATATTAACATGAGATCCTTGTTTAAATTAAGTGAGCACCTTTATGAGCACTTTATGAACAAAATTACCACTACCTATGATCAAAATTAGCTACTTTTCATTATTACAACTACCTTTCGATATAGTTCTTCATGCCCTCCGCGTTCAAGTGTGCTGTCTCCAATGAGCCGAGGAACGCATACCGCATGCCGAGACCCTCCGATATGACCTTGTCAATGTCTTGGACATTTACGACACCTCCTTCTACAAGACGCCAAACCTCGTTCAAAATTGCATACCTGCAAAAAGGGTCGGATTTTAAATGAGGACTGAGGACTTAGGTACTCTTATCGTCTTATCTTAGTCAAAGGCATTTAAAAATGACTATGTGAGTTAGAGTAAGATAGACGACAAGGACCACCACGATATATCGAAAGACTAATATTACGAGTGCCTACTTTCCACTGATGCTAAATTAATTAATGATCAAATGATTACAAATCATTTCACTTTAGGGGGCAAAAAGATGAGCTTATTTTTATCTTCATGCTTGTTCGACTACGTTTGATCTGATCTGATTCTTCGAGGATACTTTCCACTGCCGCTTGAATTATATCCAGACAAAAGAAGATAACTTGTCAGGATCTATTTATCCCCTATCTGGCATGGCAACACTACGCAGGGTATGCTCTGTCATGTTTTAGAGTTCTATATCCATTAGGACTTTGAAAGGAGTCATACACAAGCATTCAAGAACCCAGACTTTTAGTAGTGCTACTAAAATATATGAATAGATTGAATGTTTCTAACATCCCATTAAATAAAGCAACTTACTGAATACGATTGAGGACAAATCCATCGATTTCTCTGGTGAGAGATACAGGCTCCTGGCCGATTTCCAGCATTATCTCACGTGTCTTCAACGCCACCTCAGGCTTAGTCCACGGTGCAGGCACGACTTCAACTAACGGCACGTAGTAAGGAGGATTCACTGGATGGGAGACTATCACCTGAAAATTGCGAAATGTTATCTTTTATCTCAGTGCACTGGTGTAAGCTTTATGAAAAGTTAATTGTAAAATCTCAGACCTAAATACACCTGGTATTGCAGATGTCTGGGCGTCGGTGATAACATATTTTTTGGCCCTAGGGCCAAAAAATCCGAATGCTATTTTTTTAGATTACAAACTTATAACATCTAAAAGTTTGAACGCAAATCTCGCTATTATCTCGAATCAAACAAATAATATTAAGTACCTGAGATTTGTGCTTCAGGTTTTCAGAGAACAATGACGGCAAGGTTGTGCTCGTCGAGCTGGACAGGATGGTATTGTTATCCACAACCTTGTCTAGGTCTTGGAAAACTTTCTTCTTGAGCTCCAAGCTCTCTGGGACACACTCCTGCACGAATACGGCACCCTTAACGGCTTCTGTTAAGTCCGTTGAACCTGGAACGAGTAGGTAGATGCGATTTGATTTTCGATAAAGATTTTTTCGATTAACATAAAATTTTAATCAGATAAATAAATAACCTTAAAGACATGTAACTTCTTTAATGAACTGCAAACAAAAACGGAGGAAGGTGTATGTTGTATGTTTTATTTTTATGTACGTTCTGCGATATTTCCGTGGACTTTAAAAAATATTTTTTTATTTGAAAAGATACGCTCTCTCTGTAGTTCTGATAACGGAGTCTTGACAGAAAAGTCGAGGGTCCTCTCCTAGAATAGGTATTATTTGTATAGGTAATAATGTGAATGTGAAGTATAAAGCTATGGGACATTTCAACAGTGATATTAAAGGAAAGATACTTTATAATATAGAAGAACACTAACGCCAACAATATTTCTAACAGGTCAATGCATATATCTTCCAAACGATTTAACATTGAAGAGCATTGCGCTTGTAAGTATTCTCAAGTGTTTATGTACAAACCTACATTTTATCAGTATGTTATGAAACAAACACCTACAAATACCAAGCAGACTACGGATGGTAAAATTGGTAGTCAAACCCGTACCTACAACTTGCTAGAAATATTAATCGTTTCTAAGTTCTAAGAGAGAGTAATAAGTGGGGGTTTTTCGCTAGAATTGGAGCACCCATCTGGGGAATTAACCTCCGCCTTGCAGTTGTCTACAGTAAAATACCATTTTTGGTGTTTGTGACGGCGAGAAACATTTCCAGGGATCCACGGGGCAGGGGATGAAAAAGGTTTTATTTATCTTTTTTTCTGTTCTGTGGGGTAAGCTTAGGCAACGCGCGCTATGTTGTTGCAAGCATAGAGCATATTTGACATCGTTTTTAATAAAAAAAACTACTTTCCAAGACGAAGTTTGGTAGGTAGTCTAATCAAAACAATAGTTGTGCTTTAGTAAAGCCTTGAAGAATGGCATTAAAAATATTTAATGTAGGTATAGTTATAGAAAATATTAATAAACTGACCGTTAGAAATAAGAATATACCTAAATAGGTATACAGAAACATGAAATTTTCAACTGACTACCTACTTAATATTGTTGGGTATGAGATACAGCCGTGCAGAGCAGACTCCCTCCCTCCGGGTTCCATTATTTACAAGGAACTCTAAAAATGTGAACTGTAAATAGCCCTTTACAATTGATTAGGAACACCGTTCGACCCAACGACGACCATAAAATGATTACATATCTAAAAAGAATAGGACCTATTAGAGATAAAGTTGTCGAATCTACTTCAAAACCTTTTGATAAATTAAAGAAACAAGCAACATAATTTTATAATGAATTTATTTCGTCAATTAATTACTCTAAACTTTTCAGTTAATTTTAACATTCGAGAATATGCTATAAATAAACTATGTAGTTACTTACCTATTTAAAAGGATGTTAGATACTTAAACTCTTAGGAACAAGAAAATAAACAAAATAAATACCAACCTGACAACACGTTTCGTTTCTCAATAACTGATAAGGACGTAATACAGCGATCGGGCTTAAGGTGACTGCTTGATGACGAAGATAAGAGAAAAATCATAAGTACCTTTGAATTACTCGTCAGCATTCAGTTCTCCTTTGAGCAGGCCGTCCCTCTCGAGGGTTTTAAGCTGCACTCTAAAGTCCTCTAGAGCATCAGACATTTGCTTCGGCACGATGTCATATACTGTCACCCACGGACGCAAATAACATCAACCTTGACTGACCGAAAAGATATCAGAGGAACAAGAATAATAGGGATATCTAAGAATGCAAATATCATATAGGTACCTTTAATACATTGGAATTGCTGGTCAGCATTAAGTTCTCCTCTAAGCAGGCCATCTTTCTCAAGGGTCTTGAGCTGCTTCTTAATGTCCTCCAGTGCGTCAGACACCTGCTTCGGCACGATGTCATATACCGTCACCTGGTATCCCACAGACGCAAACAGCATTGCCCATGACCGACCAATGAGACCACTGAGGAGTGAGATTTATAATATGGTTAATTTTTATTGCCTACTAACTAGCTTCCACTCGCGACCTACTTCGTCTCCATTAACTTTAGGAGCGCGCAAGATTTTTCCGTAAAAACTTTCTACAAAGTATTACAAAGCTTAAAAAAATTTAAACAAAAAATAACCGACTTCAAAATCTGAAATGTAACTAAAAAGTAAAAAATAATATCTGGCTCATGATTTGGAAGTCGGGCGGGACAAGATTGAAAGACGTATTATTACCGATCAGAAACGAAAATCTATTTAATGTTTCAATCTTGACCCCGCCCGACTTCCAAATCATGAACCAGATATTATTTTTTACGTTTTAGTTCCATTTTCGATTTTGGATTCGGTTTTATTTTTTGTTAAAAAAAATATTTCATCCATTTTAGTGAAAAACACATACGTAACGGAGAAATCGGTGAACATGCATAAAAAAACATCGTGCGTGCCTTTGAAATTTTAAGGTGCCCCTCGATTTCCCCGGATGCACTCCGGGAGCCGGGAGTGCCGGCAGAAGTGAAAACTTGAATAGAGTCTGTGCGGAAATTTAGATTGGAGGGCGCTGTAGTGCTTTTCTACCGTATTTGTAAGGTTTTACCCCTTTTAGACATGATTAAATAAACAAATCCGTATAAATACAAAACTTTGAAGTTTTACAGATTGCTAGTTTTGATTGCCAAATAAAAATCTTAATGTTAGTTCCGTTTTTCACCACGCCCATTCTCTTTCCGCACAGACTCTATTAACGTTTTGATATTTTGGAATGGTTAGGGAATAATTTTGCACGAATTGATCAGTATAAAAGTACTATCATTTATGTGGTAGCATACAATATTTATTTACTGCGCTATCGTACACAAAGGACATCGACGAAATCGGCCCTAGCATGCCCAAAAGAATGTCCTTCACTATTATTTTTCTATTATTTTTTTAACTTATTAGCAATTAATCATAGTAAACGGACAATCTGTTTAAAAAATAAAAGTTCTGTTACTAGATACTACAGTCTGTTCATCCAACTTGACACTCCTTTTTATTGAAAATACAGCATTAAAAATCAACGGATAACTGGATTCAATAGGTTTCAGTCTATAATAACGATTTATTTCAATAGTTTAATGGCTTCGTTAATATTTTATTATTAAATGGGTGATTCTGTTAAAAAGTTGTGCCAAGATTGTTTACCTTAGTAATGCAATATAGGCGACCATAGGTATTTATCAACATAAAAATAGAACAAGGTACCTTAGTTAATAATACTTATCACTAGTATTTGTATTATATTTATGAAAAGATTATTTCTGAAATTATCTAAAGATATTACATGGGATGGGAGTATAAACATACTCCCATCCCATGTAATATCTGTTTATTTTTATGAAAATCATAATGATAACCAGGTACATACCTAATTACCGATAGTAAACTATAGGAACAGGTAAATGGAAAGACTGAACATTTCATTTGAAAAGAAATCTATAATTACCTACTACAGGTAGGTATAGGTATCATAGGTGCCAACTGACAACACTCATAAATCAATATGAATATAAGCATTTATTATTTTTATTATTAATTGCATTTTATGTTCATTTAATGCATATTATTTGAGTGCTTACATAGAGGTAAACACTAAATCTAATATAATAATTATAACCTCAAAATCTAATACATTCTGTAGTAGGCCACGGTTCCTCAAGTTGTCCGTATCTAAACAAATGCTTATTTAGAGTTTGTGAATGATTCCGAACACAACTAGCATTTTCTCATTGCTGGGCGTTATAGGGCATTCAATGTATGGGGAACGAGCAATGTCCTTTGACAATTTATATTACATTAAAAAGGTTATCTCTCAGAAAAAACCACTTACATGAATCACATTTAAGCGCACATATAGCGACATCTATTGTAAAAAATGCATTTTCTTCGCAATAAAATGCCACGTGGACGTCCTAGATAGAGACTTCTTATTATAATACGATAAAACAAAATATTACTATGTTTCGTCCAATATATTGAAAGTTAACAACCTTTCCAATTTTATTGTTTTCGTCTTACGAATTTTCGATTAGGTCACGTGTCCTAACGCGATCGGGCCACGTGTCCTGACGCGAGTTTAACATTTTTACCCATACAAAAAAAGTGTACAAGCGTACCGCTAAAGAAGTTTTCACTTCAAAAAATACACAGTCGAACACAGAACCCCAGAAACAGAAACCTTTTTTGAAGTCGGTTAAAAACAAAGCTGGATGAAATCGGTAAAGCTGTACTCAAATTATGGCGTGACCAAGAAAAATAAGGATTCATTTTTATTTTAAGAGCAATTGAATTAGTGATATATCTAAGTAGTTAATATACCCGGCGATACAAACACTTACAATAAACTCTAATTGAATGCAATTCTTCTTTGATTACTAGAAAATATTTATAATTATGTACAGTATTTCCTCTTCTCGAATACTATAAATTTCGTTGTTATAAACATCAATCGTTTTACTGTATGAATAATTCATTCATTACCAATCAATAATAAAGTCAAAAGATAAGTCTTAAATAATATCACCAAGATCGTTTTCCGGTGCAAGTTTACTACGCACATCATGTAGTGGACTAAGGGATGCTCTGTCCTCCGGGTACAAAACACTTATTTGTTTCATTTGTCCACTATTAATTATTATAATATTATCAACTTTTAACCGCGGAGGTCAGTGACAAAAAATTTAGGTTAGCATTTTAGAACGGCTGGTTTTATAATACTATCTCACATGCATTGTATTTAGATTAGGCTAGGGCTAAGCAGTAGGCTATATTTAATATGTCGTCCACAGAACACAGAAAGAGGTCGTCAGTCTACCAGGTTTCTACCAGATTCGTTAGCGTTTGGCGTGAAGAAGAGTTCAATTTATTCTGCTGTGTTACCGCGGAATTCATCGCTGTGATTTCCAATTTATTTGAAATTAGTGTTCTAATTTATTTTTAAGTCACACCGCGGATTCCGTTGTGAATAGTGAGTTCTTAAAGAATGCACTGCTGTTAAAAAAACTTCGAAATTACGTTTAAAAATCTATTATTTATTTATAAGAATTATAGTAACTGCACTGCTTCTTCTTTATGTAAGGTCATCGGGTAGGCAGCCTGACAGTTAAAGGTATGAACTTGTAGCGATTTTTTAAGTCAATATCCAGCGCTTATGTAATAACAATTAACCTCTCATGACACCGCGATACCATTATCTTAACGGTACATAGATTTTTTTATATCATAGGCGATGATTTGCTCCTAACATACAAAGTGATAACGAGAATGTACACTACCTACTTCAACACAATTGTTTATTAACAAAACCAAACGAGATAAACATAAATTAAAAATATTTGTTGAAAAAACTAATTTAAGAAAATAAAAAAGTCAAACAATCTTTATTCAAATTAATTGCACAATACAACTCTTTTGAATTAGCTGTGGAGACAAACTGGCAAAATAAACTTCACAGCGTTAAATATTTACGTAACAATATTTACAAAATATTATATTGTTACGATGTCAATACAAAATCATATTATCTTTATCACAATTATAAAAAAAGCCTGCCGGAAAGTTTGGAACAGTATAAACCCAAGCATTTTTGTCTGAAATATAATCAGACATGGAGGGAATAACTTGTAAAACGATTATTGATAATAATAGTAGGTATTACTTAACGGAATCATAATGTGCGAGGTTGTCGCCATAGAACACATTAAAAGGATACAATGTTTTTACAGAAAAAGTCGTACCTTTCTGGTTTAACAGGGTTAATAGAAATCATCGAAAATTAAAATTATTAGATACATAACAATATTACCAATTATTTCCTCAGGTCTCCTGTGTAGACAAAGAACTTTCCATGGTCGTGGACATATATTTTGTATTTTATTAATTTGCTGCTTTAGTCTTATCTATGAGTAGCTTGTTGTGCGATAATTTAGTTTCTGAGTGCCATTTGTACCAAGGATCTTAAGCTATCCCTGTTTAACTTTAAATAATGAATAAAGATGGCGTGATATTTTAACTGATGAATCTAAAGATATAGAGGATATTAAGTTCCGTCTGATTTTTCTCAATTTAAGTTGAGTTTTTTGTAGATACCTAAGTATATAGATATATTTAGTACAACGCATACCTTTAATACCCTATAGTACAAAGTGTCTGCCACTTTATTAAATACTAGCGGTCCGCCCTCGCTTCGCTTCGGTGTAGAGCTGAAGTATAGACTACAGTTTTTGTTGTCAGGCTTGTATTATACACAATGACATTCATCTATGATTCTTTTTATACCTGCATGCAAAGTGTCAGCCCGATCGATTTAAAATTGACAAAGTTTCATACAAACTTTCATTCCCTATTTTATCCCCTTGGGGGTAGAATTGATCAAAATCCTTTCTTAGCGGATGCCTACGTCATAACATCTACCTGCATGTCAAATTTCAGCCCGATCCGTCCAGTGGTTTGGGCTGTGCGTTGATAGATCACTATGTCAGTCAGTCACCTTTGACTTTTATATACATACTAGCTGACCCAGCCAACTTCGTACTGCCCTAAAAAAATAGGGGTTGTCCAGCGGACAAATTTGTGAATCTAAACCATTCTCAGATCCCCTTGAACACACACAAAAAATTTCATCAAAATCGGTCCAGTCGTTTAAGAGAAGTTCAGTGACATACACACTCACAGAAGAATTATATATATAAAGATATAGATAATAACGGTCATTTTTATTACCTGTATTTATAATCAAACTAAAATTCTCATATTTCCGTTTTCCAGTACTCATTTTCTACACGTTTTACATGATTTATTTGCTAATTTTGTTTACAAATGTTTGGTTTTTATTCTAAGATAAGCACGGTTTCTCAATATCAAGTATTGTCTGTCAATAAGGTCGAACGCTCTGAACGCATCAACAGCCAAATATTGAATGAAGCTCGCTTTCTTTTT